TTACGGTCATGTTAAATGGGAGAATCCCTCCAGGAAACCGATGCCCAAGTGGGAGGTCACACTAACAGCACTTTTCTGCTCATAGTCTTCTGGCAAGACAAGACCCAAATAACTAATGAAAAAAAACCCCCAAGTAGATTATTTTTAATCAAAGAAGTAGGGCAAAGTACTTACCAGACAGCCCTGATCTAAAATGAAAGAGCTAAAAAAGGTCAGCAGCCCTCTTTCCAAGGCACCTTTAAGCAGGGAAAGCAAAGCAGTTGTTTGGTCCGTGGGTCGGTCTGCTCACCCCACAGTCAGAGTTCATCTCCAGGACTTTCCCAAACGTGAAACACCTCTCCCCTGTTCGGATCACCCCGGAAGCCCAGAGGCTCTGCCTGTTGAGTAGAACACAGTCTCTGCTGCCGGCAGAGCCCTCACTCCTCAGCTGAAGAGGTTTCCTAAACCTCCAGGGTGAAGACGGCTGAAGAGGCTGATGCTTCTGCCCCTGATGTCTGTACTCTCCGCATCAAATCAGAGAGTGGGGAGCAGACGTATGTTGTAAAGATGCTGTTCACGGAGACCATAGGGGACCTGCGCCAACACCTTGCTCACGCCAGGTAGGCCTAGGACTTCTTCCCCTCCTCGCTCCCCACCCAACTCCGTCAAACCCTAGGGAAGGTTTCTCAGCTGCTGCTCAAGGCCCTGGAGCTGTGCTTCAAACAGATCAGCCTGAGCTGAGCAGGGCTGAGGGCTACAGTCCCAGCCCCAGGAGCGGCTAGGCACTCTCTGATGCTTTGGCTCCACCATCCAAGATGCTCTCTGGGCAGCACTGCCAGGGTCACACTTAGCTCAGAGCATTTAATACCCACCTTTGCCAAAAAGCTGACACAGCAGCAGCGATAAGCCTCTTTGGTCCTCTCAGAATTGCCATCTGACCCAGGTCCATGGCTGCCTTTACCTCCTTCCAGCTGCTCAGCAGCACTCGCCTGACAATTGCTGCCGTTCCCAAGGTGCTGGTGCAGCCTGGAAGCTGAGCCTTCAGCTTGACTGATGGGTCTGCTGCTGGAAAAACACCACGTTTAATCCCAACGTGTTTAATGCTGCCCAAGGGCTCCCACATCCCTTCGGGGACAGCACCCAATGGCTGAGGGGACCCCTTTGCTCTCCCCTCTTCCCACTCCTGTTGCAGGACGTAGCTGTGGCTTTGGTCTGAGCCCACGATGAGCTCAGTGCTGCTGGGATGCAAGAGCCTCCTTCCCTGCTGCAGCTGTGCAGCCTGGAATGGCTGCTCTGTGCCTGGCTGTTTGCAGTTTGGGCGGGAAGCCCTTTTTTCTGCTCAGCCTGTGCTTGTGCAACAGTCTCTCCCTCTGCCCTTACATAACCACAGCTGGAACAGCCCGAGCATCTCAGCAAAACCTTGGGGGATCCTCTGTGTAGGAAAGATTGTGCTGTTCTTTCCTAGGGGTGGAGACTCCGGCTCGTATGAGATCATCAGCACCTTTCCCCAGAGGGTATACACGGACAACTCCAGGAGCCTGCAGGAATGTGGCCTGATCCCCAATGCCTCCTTGCTGCTGCGGAGAAGAAACCCCTCCCAAAAAGAGGGGACAGGGCTGCAAACAACTTAACAGCTCCTAGCAAGAGCTGCTCGCCCCAAGCTCTGCAAGAGGAAGGAGCTGCCTTGCACCGTTAGCTGTGTTATAACCTCCCCTGGCTGGGAAGAAAGGAGAGGGGCGTCTTTCCAGACTTAGTTTCATTGCACTGTTACCTGAGATGGAGCAAAGAGCTCAGAGGCAGCAGTTTGGCCTCTCCCTTCGGTGGAGGGTTCCAGGCCCAGTCCTGCTGCCTTGCATGAGGATGCTTTTCCCCAAGACACATGGGCTCTTAACACAGGGGCATTTCTGTCAGCTCAAACCAGAGGCCTGGTTTCTCACCTCTGCTGAAGGTTACGCAGGCTGATCCCCACCCAGGGAAGGCCACCAGCTTTACACTGGTATCGGGCAGCTGCTTAACTGGGCTCAGGGATTCTCTGTAGCAGCAGGACAAACAGCCAGGGTCAATTTACTTTCAACACAGAACAGCTCCCCAGAGATTTCAACTGCACTTACACAAGAGAAACAGGCTCAGATATGTGGTCCCCGGTGAAGCTAAACCAAAAAGCCTTGAGCCATTGTAATGCTGGGACTGAGCCAGACTTGTCTCAGCCAGGAGATCCTGCGGCTGGGTTTCCTGTATGTGAACAACTCCTTCCCTTGGACAGCCCCCAGCTCCAGCGGGGCCCAGGCTCGCAGCCACGCCGAGCCCACCTGCAGCAGCTCCGAGCTGCCTCC